GCTATTCTTTAATTGGTCTCTCAACTTCCAGCAGATAATGCTGATTGCTTTGATGGTGACTGGTTAACCCAAGGAGTGTGAGATCAAAGGAGCACAGTTGGCTTGTGCTCTGCTCAGTTCAGAGATTTTTAGCCTGGGTTGACTCATAATTACAAGAATTCCCAACTGGCTGGAAGCAAAAGAAACTTGCTGCTGAGCAGTGGGATAAAGAACAACGTGTGAAGTCCTGCCTGGACAATGAAGACACCAAAGCATGAGCAGTAAAGAGCAGAACAGCAAAGAATTCATATGAGTTCACAGAGCTTCTCACTTCAAGCCAATTGTCCTGATTTCCCCCTCATCATAATTTCTTTGTTCAACTCTCTTGAGTTCAACTCTGCCCTGGGCCCTCCAGCTCCACTTTCCCCTTTGCCCTTCCCTACCTGCCCCGTGCAACACTCCCACTCTCATCCAAAATCAGGAACTGCTGATGTTTGGATGCTGGTAACATGGAATATGGCAGGATAAGCACCATCCCCAACGAGCTGCTGTTGTTTTACTCCTGGTTTTTGCAACCCAGGGCTGTTGTTTTACTCCCCGTGTGAAACGAGACTGGGGGAGCGAGTCACGGAACGCACCAGGAAGGGACAGAGGGCAGTGGACAATCAATCAAAGCCCTAAATCAGTGCCCTTCAAGGGTCTTTTCCTTCTACTATCATGTGTGATCCTTTCTTGATTCATTAATGTCAGCTGAGCAGCAAATGCTGCAGCTGCTGGCTCCCTCTGAGCTGCTGGACCCCGTCCACGGCTCTTTCCTCTTCCCTTTTAGGAAGAAGTGGCAGAATGCAGCTGCCTGGGAGGCTTTATTTTGGGTTGGAAGATCTCCAAACAGAGAGAGGGGGAAGAAAAAAAAAAACTGAACATGCTGTAAATCAGAGATGGCCTTGAACCAAATCCCCTGGTTCCCAAATATCAACAGGCAGGGAAAGATTCAGACCAAGGCATGGGTTGTCCAGAATACGTCATCTCAGGCAGGTGGATGGGTCTGAGAGTCACACAAAGATGGGAATAACACCCCTGTGAATTCTGATTTTTCCCCCAAAGTAGAGCTAACATACTCTCCAGTCACCCCAAATAAATCCCCTGACCCTTCACATCTCTCTGTATGGATTCTGCTTCAAAAGGGGCTTGAAAATGAGTCACTTTTCCCTCTGGTATATTTTTAAGACAATAACAAGGTCCTCTTGAAAACTCTGAAGGGATGCTGAGAGAATTCAGCATTTTTTACAAACATCTAGAAAATATTTCCAATCTTGGCCTTGGAAAAAAAAACAAAAACAAAAAAAACAACATCAAAAAAACCCCACACAAACAACCAAACAACAACAACAACACAAACCAAAAACAAACAAACAAACAAAAAACCAAAAAACCCACACCAAAACAGAACAAATACCTAAAGCAGAACTGTGTTATGAAGGACTATTTCTTATGGGCACTTTCCCAATTGAATAGCCTTGTTTTCCTTATAAGAAAGCCTGCAGAATTTTTTCTCCAAATCCAATTTTTGGCAGCTTTTTCCTATCTCAAAGAAAATTTAGATTGGTCCTAGTGAAGACCATTTCCACCTACAGTTTCCAGGGATAAAACAGACACAGGAGTGAGAAAGATGCTGGAACTCCTGATTTTGCCAGGCCTGTGGCAGGAAGGCATCTTATTTCAGGACAAAAAAGTGGTAGATACTTTTTATTGGCTTTTTAGGATGAGATAAAAAGTGCCTTATGCCTTCATGCATTCATTTTTAGGACATTTTTAGCACGAAGTCAATGAATTGAAATACAGAATTTATGCAGGACAGCACCCAATGCAAAGAACAAACACAGTAAATAAAATACTCTGTAGAGGCACAGGATATAAATACAGAAAATGAAAGAGGGGGAAAAAAAATCAAGTGAGCTATATTTAATGCAGATATTTAACCATGCATAGTTTATTCCAGTTGTTTCTCTGGGAATGTGACTTGTTTTAGCACCAGCTGGTTCTACTTTTTAGGAGTAGAAGGAGGAAAAGTTGTTCAAAAAGTTTTAATGAAAGCTTTAATTGGTGTGGTAGAAAATAAGGAGTTGTTCCTAGAAAGAGAGAGGAAGGGAAAGGCAGAATGAGAGAGCAAAAGGGAAAGAGGGAAAGAAGAGAGAGTTAAAGAGAGAAAAGAGGGAAAGAAACAGAGAAAAAGATAAAGAAAAAAAAAGAGAGAAGAAGAAATATTTTCACATCAGACTATCTGCAGAGAGCTTGCTTTTGACTTTCATACTCTATTTAAAAATACAAAATTGGGAGCATTGCAAAAGAGTTCCCAAATTAGCTTTTTAATAGAGATTGGAAGTTAAAAGGGGCCGAGTCATGGGGGAAAAACGATTCGGAATCACAGCCAGGGCAGCACCAGCAGAGAGTGAGGCCAGAGCACGCCCCAGTGAGAGAAGAGGCAGGAAGTTTTATGAAGTGATGACACTGTAAATCACAGCAAAATCTCTTATACCAGCAAAAGCCAAATGACATTTCTGGTTTTGCTTTCTTCTGAGTATCTGCAAGAGGGAAAGAGCAAGTGGAGATAGAGGGAGGGTTTAAAAGTGGAAAGCAGTTCTGAAGACATCTTATAAAGATGGATTTGGGGTGCTTTGATATGTTTAAATTCTTACAGCCACTGAAAGTTTCTCATAGAAGTTTTAGGATTCACTTTGCACACAACTATTCATGTGTCCAGCATACAACTAAAGATACATTGCATTTGCATAACCTCATAACTGGTTTGCAGCTTTCAAATATTACTGGGGAGATTGGTTTTGGGGAGGATTACTCAGGATCTGACACTCAGAAATTAGTATTATTTTTTAATAATTGCGGTAAATTATCAGAAATTAGACAGCGTTGAGACCCTGAGTTGGATCGATCAGGTCAAGGTTCAGTTGAATATCAGGAAAAATTTCTTCACTGAAGGTGTGGTGAAGCACTGGAATGGGTTGCTCATGGAAGTGGTGGAGTCACCATCCCTGGAAGTGTTGAAAAAAATGAGTCAATGTGGCACTTGATGATATGGTTTAGTGGGCATGGTGGGATTCACTCTAAAGTTTGGACCTGGTGATCTTGGAGGTATTTTCCAACCTTAATGACTCTATAAGAAGGGTATCAGAATTTTTCAGATTACACTTTCCAAACTACACAACTGGAGTGTTGATGTGTTGGTTATTTGGAGGGGATTTTTTTCCCTGTTTTTTTGTCCTAAAGAAGGCCTTGGGTTAAGAGCTCTGGGACTGCACCTGGAAAACCACCCCTGGTAAGCACTGGCTGTGCCAAGTCCCTGTTTCCCCTATTTTAAGGCACCACAGGCACACCAGACCCCACAACACACCCACTCCTCGCTCACAGTGACGCAGCTGGAGGAGCATCTCCCACCTCTGCCAAGAGAACCCTTGCAGCCCCTCCCACCCAAACAGGGGTCCCGCACCCCTGACCCCCTGCCCAGCTCATCCCTCCGCCCCGCGGGTCCCGCATCCCCGACCCCCCCTTGCTCAGCGCACCCCTCAGCCAGGGGGTCCTGCTCCTGCATCCTCCACCCGCGGTGTCCCGCACGCCCGACCCCGCTCCCCCCGCACGCCGGGGGTGCCGCACACGGGCCGCGGGCTCTCTCCGGGTGACACCTGCCGGCGGCTCTGCGGGCGGGCGTGTGCGGGAGAGCCCCCGCGCCGCGCTCCGGAGCATCCTCTCCCCCTTTCCACACACACACACACACGCACCCACCCACCACCACCACCACCACCACCACCTCCCCGCCCTGCCTTCACCGCCCCCTCCTCCCGGCGCTCTCCTCCCGCGCGGTGCTGATGCTCCGCCGCTCTCCGCGGGCGCGGTGCTGATCCTTCTTCATCACCGCCCCGCGCCCGCGCACTCCGCGCGTCCCCGCGCCCCGCTCCCGGCAGCCGCATGGCCGCGGAGGCTCCGGGCGGGCGGCCGCGGCCGGGAGCGCCCTGCGGAGGTGAGAGGGGGGGTCCGCGGGGGTGGAAAGGCACCGTGGCACCGTCCCCCCGGGGGATGCTGGAGGGGAGTGGGGAGGGGGAGCACCGGCCGCGAGGGGTGCGGGGGACGCCGGCCCCGGGGCGGGGGGAGCGAGGGGCAATCGCGGTGCCCCCGGCTGGGCTCCCACCCCCGCGTCCCCCGTGTGCCTCCCGCCCCTCGCCGATGCCGCGATCCCGCCGTTCCAGCGCCGTGCGGAGCTGGGCTGTGTGCGGGGAGGCGAGGCGATGGCCAGGCGGCCGAGCTCCGCTCGCTCGTGTGCGTATCGGTCTGACTTTATGGAAGTCACCAACTATCGCTGCGGCGCATCAGTCGCCGCCGGGAGCTGCCCGGCGGAGCAGGGCAAGGCTGGCTCGCTCTGAACTGGGCTTGTAGTTATGTGCTTAACGGAGGTTCGCCGGCAAACAGATAAATGAGAGGGGCTGCCGGGTCTCTCTGAGCGTGCCGAGTCCAACTTCTGGCCGTGGACGAAAGAGGGATGCTGAGGTGGTGTGGAGACAGGACTGGTAAGAGCTGCCAAGGAGCAGGGCGAGCCAGAACAGCAAGACAAGGGGGAAAGGGAAAGGCGGTGGGAGGGCAGAGGGGAGAAGGAGAACGGGAAAGATCGGTATAAATCTGAAATATTTCTTTTTATTGCTGAGTGTAGCCTCACGCTCTGGCGAAGGTGTTGGTTGTAGGTCTGTGATGCTGGAGGAATAGCTCATTTTCTTGTCTAGGAGGAACCTCTCCTGTGTTGTCCCTGCCTGACAGAGAGCCAGGGACACACAGGGAGCTCCGGGAGGGACCCGTGAAGTTCATCCCGTACTTTTCCCCCCTTCATCCCCCCCTTGCCACTGCTGGCACATTAGCATGCAGGGTAGGCTCTGTGTATTTAACGACTCCATTTGCCAGTGTCTCTGTCAGCTCACACCGCCCTTCTCCAGCCGCGCTCCACAACCTGCCTCCCTGGACCAGCCGGGTCCATCTCCCTGCTGCGACCACCCCGGCGGATTCTCCGGGACCCGGGTGCCATTCCCAGCTGGATCAGGCAGCCAGGGCGAAGCTCCGAGCGGTCCTGGAAGGGGAGGGGGCAAAGCGAAGCGAGCTCAGGCGAGAGAGGCAGGGAGAGCCTCCGTCTCGGCAGTAATGAGGGAGAAGCTGTTTAGTCATCTCTCTATATATACTTTCACAATGATGATCACATTTACTGATTGCTTCTGACTGCGTGTAGAGAGGGAGTCAAGAGGCAGGCAGCACAGTTCACCTTGTATCCTGAGGAGTGACTGCTCCCCCTTCCTTCCAGTTCCCCACATTTAGCCCTACTTTTGGGTGCCGGGTGTCTTTCCTTGCCAGGTAAGGCAGCGCTGCAAGATGGGGCTCTCTGGGCTGACTGGGAGGGAGGGAGGGGAGAAGTTTGCATGCATTCATCTTAAGCCTGTTGCTTTTGCTCCTAAATCTCTCCACCAGACCGAGGGAGCAGAGTGTTTTGCAGAAAGTTTCATTTCCTGATGTGGTGGTGAAGGGAAAGGGTGTGTGACTGACCGAGGATATCGAGTCTTGGCTGACATATTTTGCTTTAAAGCAAATGTCTCTTTGCTGCCTGAGCCTGACCCAACAAGGGCAGGGAAGAAGGAATGATGTCAAGGCTCTTCACTCCCGTTATCAGTGTCTCATCAAGAAACTCACAGTATGTTTGTGGGGCGGATTTCAAATCATCCCTGTCTGCTGCTAGAAAGGGAAACACTGAGATTTTTGGGTTGTTTCTGCTTTCGTGAGAGGATGAAGAGACAATTCTTAAGTGTGGCACTGCCAGGGGAGCTAAAGGGGTAAGAATCCAGCCTTTATTTCTTGACCCTTTAGGTGAACAGACATAACTGTTCTCTGAAGTTTTCCTCCAGAGCTTCCCTGACCTGCCATGCCTGTCAGGTTTTTATTTCCAAGTGGGATGAAACCAGGGTGCCCATGGAGTGGCTGCAGCACAAATGAACCTCGGGAGCCAGCAGTGGCCAGGAGGGACCCCAATGAGGTTGGATGTCCTGGGAGGGGGACAGGGGGCTCATGCCTCAGCCTTTTCTATCAAATTCACTTCACCATTTCACTGTCCTCACAATTATCTCTAAAGAAAACAGACTCCCTTCTCTACAGATGCTGACTTTTTTAAATCAGGAGGTAAATTATTTTATCTCGTGTGCCAGGTCTTCTAAATGTCATCAGCAGGGTGCCAGTCTGCTGTTAACTAGTTCCTTTCAAATTACAAGCAGAAATTACGGTAATTAAAATTAGAAATACGGGTATAGCTAAATATATGCTTGTTGGAATTAGAGTATGTCTGTTTTCTATGTGAGCTGAAGAGGCTCTGTGGACAGTACAGTAGATTTTGAGTCCAGCCAGTTGCTTTGCAGCCTAAACAGGCTGGATAGCAGGTACTGAAACCCAGGCAGGCAGAAAAGGAGGATTCTTACCCCATTCTGTAGGTAAACTTGTTACTTCATCTTATTTTTTTTTTTTTATTCAGCTTAGGTTGTGCAGCCCTGAATTACAAATCCAGTCCTATTTCTCTCCTAATTTTCTGTCTCTTATTTCGGGGACGGGTGAAGTTCCAAGGATTTATGGACAAGGAAAACCAAGACCTTTGTGACTGGAGATTTCATTTCTCTTCTTCCTCTCCCTCTTAAGAAAACTTATAGGCAAAAAAAGACTTTTTGGGTGGGTTTTTGTGGATCAAATGGAGCAGATTCAATGCAACTTAGAAAACTAAGCTGTGCATGCTGTTTTCTTTAAAAGCTGCATCTCTGGGTCCCAGAAAAATGGGAGCTAAACTTTCACAGATGAATTCCCCTCTCTTTCTCTTGTGCTTTAATATCCTGTCCACTTCACAGCCCAGATATTTATAGCTTCCTTACGCATACTGCCAGCATGGAAGGACCCATTTTATCTTTAAAAAATTGATTTAAAAATGTGTAAGTCACTTATGAGTTGCCATTGCTTTATTAGAACAATTATATGTGAAGTATTTATAGTGCCTGAGAGGCTAATGTAGGTAACCTGGAATCCACAACCAAAGTTATGAAAGTACAGAAGAGGTTTCTAATGCAGTTCCCCTGAGAAATCAGGGGAGATGAGGATCCAGTGTGAGGAAGCTGGTCAGGTCACCCTGCATCAATCCTGGTAGAAGGACTGTGGTGGTGTTAATTGAAATTAAAAAGCAGAGAAGGCAGATTACCAGCAGGGAAAGGAAGAACAAGGTGCTTTATCTTGGTTTCTTGGTTGTTTGCCTGTATGTATTTGTTGATAAATGAATGAAATAGTTGCTATTTTGCTGCCTCTTGTTCTCAAGTGTTTGATAGAAGTGAAAAGATCCACCACTGCTGGCAGGAGGCATCTGCCTGAGCCCACTGAGCCCCCTGGAGATGCCCTTTCAGCTGAGGACTGGGGGATCTTTTCAAAGTCATGCAAAGAAACTTTCTGTGCCTGGCACAGACAGCAGAGCCGGGTCCCCAGGGCTGCCAGTCTGGCACCATTAACGCAATAAATTCCCCCTTTAGGGCGAGAGGAAAAAAGTAGTGCTTTGTAATGCTGAACAATCCTTAGGAGGGAAATGTCGTGGGATGCTTGCTCCAGTGCCATGTAGATAAGCAAAGTGTCTCCTTGGGATAAGCATCACTGTGGATTATTATACCTTCCATAATTACAAAACCCTCTTCCAGCGGCAGCGAGATGCTCGCACGAGGGATTTCAATTGTCCTTTAGACAGCACAATTGCATAGAAAGATGCTCCACATTAAGGTGATGAATGTTAATTTGCCCTGAAGAGGAGGTGCCTTTCTGTGAGCGGTTCAGTCGTTTTCACCACAGATGGATTCCGTCATTTTTTTGTTCAGTGTTTTGATGGCCTGTTGAAATCAATAATGCTGCAGCCTCACTGGCTGGAGTGGCAGCTTTCATGTAGTTTAAAAACTTTAGAGGAAAACTGCCTGCAAAGATGAAATTAAGCTTTGAGGGCCTGAGTCAGTGAAATCAATGGAATTTCCATTGATAAATCGACTTTTGATAGGGCTCCTAATGCAGCTTATATGGTAATGGCACCTTTCTTCAGATAACTTCATAAGGTAGAGTTAGAAAAATATTAGGGAAATGAAAATAAGTGCAAGTTAAAACAAAAGTTAATGACTGCAAGAACTCTGACCAAAGATCAAAAAGATAAAGAAAATTCATGGTTAGATCAGAAGCACAAAAACTGCTTGAACTTCAAGAGAATATTGGCTGAGGATCTGGACAACTTGGGGTATTTTTCATTTAAAAATCCAAGTGTGCAGTGAACATATGTTGCTTCAAACTAATAGTCCTTCAGTTCTTCAGCTGAAGGACTTCTGGCCTCTGTTAGCCAGGAAATAAGCAGGGAATTCCTGCTGGAGGGAAACTCTCCAGCTTTGGGGGCTTCCCTCATTCTGATGCTCTTGGTACTCAATAGTTTAATCCATGAGCTTTCACACCTGGGAGTGAAGTTTGCTGTTGCTCAGGTGTTCTGAGCAGTGTTTCCCTGAAAGCCACAACATTCCCCATGGTCTAGCGAAGGGCTGGAATTCTCCACAAGGGTAAAACCCACCTCTAACTTAAAGACAGCAGCAAAAAACTGCTGCTGAAGCCAGGTCCTGCATTAAAGGTGGAATAAAAACAGTGAAAACCAGAGATTTTTGGTTTTTCCATTCCTTTTAGCTGAGGATGTTCTTAGTGCAAGATTCAGAACATATTGAACTTGTTTAAGTCTGGAAACACAGCTGAGCCCAGCCTGGGGTTTTTGTGGTGTAGGATTTCACGGGGTGAGCTGCCAGCTGATTTCACTGGAGTTCCCAGCTCTTTCTTGACAGCTGTAGTTAAACTGATGAGCACACGAGTCTTACACCTGGGGAATTATGGATTAGTCTTGTTTGTAAGGAAGCAAATATAAATTACCGTGTTTATGCTACTTTTAAAATGCTTTTAATGAGGAATCATTTGCTATTCAAAGTTTCAGTCTACAATAATGCCACAACCTCGCCGAGCTGATTATCATGTGCCTTGTTTAACATCCCTCTTCAACTGGGAGGTGAGGGCGAGCCACTTGTTTCAAATTCTTGCGTCTGCCACCCAACTCTTCAACACACCAGGGCAAGACACCCCCTGCTTGACTGTGTGCTGTGTTCTGTTTTGCTCTGTGTTTTAGATGGAACTGATCTGACTCGCAGCAGGTCTCGGGAGCGTCCTGATTATCCTCTCCAGTAACAAGGCCTGGGCTCATCATGGCAGCAGGAGTAGCAGCGTGGTTGCCCTTTGCCAGGGCGGCTGCCATAGGATGGATGCCAGTGGCCAACTGCCCTATGCCACTGGCTCCAACAGAGAAGAACAAGAGGCAGGATGAGCTGATCATTCTCAATGTGAGTGGCCGGCGATTCCAGACCTGGAGGACTACACTGGAGAGATACCCGGACACTCTCCTGGGCAGCACCGAGAAGGAGTTCTTCTTCAACGAGGACACCAAGGAGTACTTCTTTGACCGGGACCCCGAGGTCTTCAGGTGCATCCTAAATTTTTATAGAACTGGCAAGCTGCACTACCCCAGGTACGAGTGCATCTCTGCCTACGACGAAGAGCTCGCCTTCTACGGGATCCTCCCAGAAATCATCGGGGACTGCTGCTACGAAGAGTACAAGGACAGGAAGCGGGAAAACGCGGAGCGGCTGATGGACGACAACGACTCGGAGAACAACCAGGAGGGGTCCATGCCCTCGCTGAGCTTCCGGCAGACCATGTGGCGAGCCTTCGAGAACCCCCACACCAGCACCTTAGCCTTAGTCTTTTACTACGTCACCGGTTTCTTTATCGCCGTCTCTGTGATCACCAACGTGGTGGAAACTGTGCCCTGCGGCACCGTGCCCGGGAACAAGGAGCTCCCGTGCGGGGAGAGGTACGCCGTGGCTTTCTTTTGCTTGGACACGGCCTGCGTGATGATCTTCACCGTCGAGTACCTGTTGAGACTCTTTGCGGCCCCGAGCCGCTACAGGTTCATCCGAAGCGTGATGAGCATCATCGACGTGGTGGCCATCATGCCCTACTACATCGGCCTGGTGATGACCAACAACGAGGACGTCAGCGGGGCCTTCGTCACGCTAAGGGTTTTCAGGGTTTTCAGGATTTTCAAGTTCTCCCGCCATTCCCAGGGCCTGAGAATCTTGGGCTACACCTTGAAGAGCTGTGCCTCCGAGCTTGGCTTTCTCCTCTTTTCCCTCACTATGGCAATCATCATCTTTGCAACTGTGATGTTTTATGCGGAGAAAGGGTCCTCGGCGAGCAAATTCACCAGTATCCCTGCTTCCTTTTGGTACACTATCGTAACCATGACAACACTGGGGTGAGTAGTACTTTTCCTTTCCCTGAGCAGCAGGCAAAAGCATGTACGGGGAGCTTGACTTCAGCTGCTCCTCGGCATTTCCCTGGGTGCATGTTCGGGAAGGGTCAGGAACCGCTGAGGGCTTGATTGTTCTTTGCCTCACAACTTCTGCGGCTCGGGGGAAGTTGCACGGGACGGAAAAAAGCTCTTCCACCCACTTGACATGAGCAGCAGGTCCCGATTCGCACTCCTGCTGTAGGAGAGGGAAGCTGAGGCGGGTGCAGGGGAGCTGGCAGAGAGAGCTGCTGGGTTTTTTTCTGGCGTTCATTCGAGCCGTGGGTTTCACACAAAGTCGCTGATGTGTCCGTTGTGCCTCTCCGCGATGCCGGCCGTTGTTGCTTCACTTGACACGCCAGGAACCCCAGATTTGCTGAGTTCAGGCGGATGTGGTGGGTCAGTGTACTGGAAATACTGCAGGGTCTGGTTTTCACTCCGTTGAGCAGGCTGTGAGCTTCTTGTCTGGGTGTAGCTGTGAGTTTGAAAACTGAGTGTGCCGTGGCGGTTGCAGCGGAATTTCAAACATTCCCATGGACAGGTACAAAGATAATGGAATCAAAGCGAGGGGAATGTAGCCTGGAGGGCACTTTTTTTCCCTTATATTTCATTTCCCTCTTACAGATGTTTCTGCTGAGATTATAGATTTGTGCTTCTGCTGCTCTGGACTAAAACCTTTGCAAGCAGAATAGCCAAGCCCTTCACCCTGACAAGGTTATGTAAAGGAAAGTGGGCATTGCAGGCCATGCAAAGCTGTGATCGAGGGCAATCTCTCCATTCTACACATCAGAACAACATATTGAGTTCATAGTTGCTTTACACAGAGTTTTTCCCACTGGAGAGCTCACAAAGATTTAATATTCAGATGTAGACAATTCTTGTTCTTGTAATACTGTGCCCACTTCTTCTCAAAACTGCTTTTGATTTTAAACACTTCCCTGTGCCCATTAGACATGAGCAGGCTCACAGTAGTACTTTTAAATTATTAAAATCATAATTCAGCTGTCAGAAAGGTGCCAAATCCGGGTATGTGACAACTGAAAGTCTGAATTTCTTCATTAAGTGCAAATGTAGAACCTTTTTGTCATAGTCACCTAAAGATCTCTTATTCCTCCTTTTTAATATCTAAGCAAAGTGTGCAAGTTTATGGCAAAAGCTGCTCCTTATCCTGGGAAAGTCAGAAATCAAAGGTGGGCTTTGCAGCCCAGCACTCCCCCACCCTGTGGCTCAGCTTTGCATATTCTGACTGGTCCATACTGGTCAGTTCTCACCCTCCTGTCCCCACCAGCAGCTTCAGAAAAACACCTGCCCTGGGTGGCTCCTTTGTGTGTCCTCTGCAGGAAGGGAAAGGCACGAAAATACAGTTCTATTCTGGGGTTTCTGTTTAATAATGATCACACCCATCCCTCTATCTACACACCCCTGTGCCCATTCACACTTCTGCTGTTACATCTTTGTGACAGGACAGCTGGGGTCAAGGGGACGTTCTCTGTTGGTTGGGAACAAACCCAGTACGTGCAGAATGTGCTGGGGAGTGGCTGAGTCTCTGCTCCCATCAGTTTTGGTGTCCTTCCCTCTCCTTTCTGAACGCACAGACCAACAAACCAAAGTGCTCCCGAGGACCTTGAAGTGCTCTCAATCTGTTGTAATCACAGAAATTATGGATAAATGAGTGCTTTAAATGAGTTGACACGGGTTTAAGAAATTAGATGTTTAAACACAGCTTTGTAAAAATTCGTCGGGAAGGGACCCATAAAATGCTGTCAAAGTCTCAAGGCTTAAACTTGTAGTATTTGGGATTTTTTTTTTCTTTTGTGCTAGAAAGCAAAGTTGCAACCATGAGCCATAAAAACCTCGATTGCTGCCAGAGCACCTCTGCAGAGCCCCCTCCAGACCCTCCTGGAGAGGCATTTTTGGGGCTGGTCAGGTCTGTGGTGGGATCCCAGCACTGGTGGAATGAGGCACTGGCTGTGCCCACAACTCAGGCAATATTTCATATACATCTCTCTTCAGAAGCCATTTCAATATGTTTGGAAGGGTCTTGTTGCTAATGAGAGTACTGGCAATTCCCAACACGGAGACGCTGCCAAAAATGCAGCCAAGGTCTCCTAATCCACCAGACTTTGCCTGCTTGGTGCTTACCAGTTCACTGCTTGTATTTCAGCAACACTCAGAGCTTTTAGTGGTATCTTAAATATTTTCTGACTTTTGCCTTTAATAATTCAGCCAGCCTTTAAAGCAAGAAATTACAAAGCACAAAGGTTTTTAACTCACAACTGTACACATATATTTTGTTTTCAACAGCTGATACATTTAAATCCAGATAAGTGAAGGTTTCCCTGACACTGGAATCCCACCGTTGCCTTGACAGAGTGCTCCACAGGAGTGATTTGGAATATGCAGGATAACTTTTCCCATGTTATTAAGACCTTAAAAATTAGCCCCATTTATATAAAATGGAAAGTTTACTTACAACAAACAAACAAACAAGGCAAACAGTAGGGAAGCATTAACCCTCCCACTGTACCGTGCATCAGCTGCTGTTCCAGTTTCCTAAGTATCCTTAGGCTACAATCGATTTTCCAGATTGACCCATAAATAAAAAGCAATAAAAATGCTGTTCTTCTGGAAGGTGAAGCACTGCATCAATAAATAATTGCTGCTTTTGGTGGGGTTACTATGCAAAGCAGTTCAGAGAAATCCAGGGCGATCCAGCTCCTTAGGTAGTTAACAACCCAAGGAGACAGGTACAACAGTTTTTTCTGGAATGGGAAACAAAGCAAAGGAATTAAATTATACTGACCCTGCATCTCTGATCCCTCTGCTGTGCTCATCAGCCCTGGTTTAACAGAGGCTGTTTTTAATTTAGCACGATTTAAATTTTGCTCAGGAGGTTCTATAATGAAAGCATTATTCTTGGGTGCATCTTAAATCAATCTGAATTACTGAAACAACTATTCAAAATTAATTCAAAATCAGCTCTCCAATTCATGCAGAAACATTTTTCTCAAGAGGCCAGCAGATACCCAGCCTCTCTAAAGCACCAGTACAATAAGCACTGGCCTTGCCAGGACTCTTGTTGTGTCCTTCAGGAGGTTTTGACCCCCAGGACCCCCCATCTCAGGACTGTAAATGCTGCTGAAAGCAGGGGAGGAGCACAGTGCTGGTCCCATCCAGGCATTCATGTGCCTGTCCTGGTTTTTATTGCACTTGCTGTGCAATAACCACCGGTTTTACATCTACTTAGTAATGGTTTAATTATAATAAATTTGGTTGCCTTGTTAGCAGCATGTTGGCCTTGTAAAATCCCAGAATGGTTTGGGTTGGAAGGGACCTTAAAGCTCATTTATTTCCACCCCCTTCCTCATTTATTTCCACACCTTCCACTAGCCCAGGTTGCTCAGAGCCCTGTCCAATATTCAGTTTTATTCCCATTGACAGAGTGCTGTGGATGGGGCAGCAGAGGAACACTCCGTGTGCATCACAAACACAGCGAGGGGACGAGACCTCTCCCACACCACTCAACCCCACGCCCTTTTGCCCAGAACACATGTTTTTCTAAGCTTTTTATAGCTGTTTTCATTTCACCTGACAAGAGCAGTATGTTTCAGACTCCTGGGCAGCGTGTATGGCCTGCAGCAAATTGTAGCTGTGAAAACCTGAGTGCCTCATCTACCTGCACCTCCCTGGGCATGGAGAGGCTCCTGAGGGTCCCTCTGGGTATCACAGCTGGGCTCCCACTGAGCCCCAGACAAGGGAGTAGAACCACAGAACGGTGTGGGTTGGGAGGGACCTTAAAGCTCATCTCATCCCACCCCCTGCCATGGGCAGGGACACCTTCCACTAGCCCAGGTTGCTCCAAGCCCTGTTCAACCTGGCCTTGGACACTTGCAGGGATGGGGCAGCCACAGCTTCTCTGGGCAAGCTGGGCCAGGGCCTGCCCACCCTCACTGGCAAGAATCTCTTCCTAATATCTATTCTAAATCTATGCTCCTACAGCTTAAAGCCATTTCCCCTTGTCCTGTCTCTCCATGCCGTTGCAAAAGCCCCTCTCCAGCTGCCTTGGAGCCCCTTTAGGTACTGGAAGGTTCTACAGGGAGGAATATCCATGGAGGGAATCATCACAGAGATCTTCTGATCATTTGTGTCAAGAATCCAGCAAAAATGCAGACCAAGAGACAGAGATTGATGATGGATTTTGTTCTGGTCTGAGCTTAGGGATACACTGTGTGGTCTTCTGTTGTCTAATGAAGGCTGAGCTCCCACAGCTCAGCGCCCTCGGGGTGGTCCTTGGAGAATCCATCTCTGTCTCTCTCCCTTCCCATTTGCAAGAACATAACGCTTTTGAGAACACTATCCCTCTTTCAGAGCTGGCTGCACTGGTCAATGTGTTTGAAAGACACACATCAGTGCTCTTGGACAACACAGTCCCATCTGTATAATTCATTTAAGGAACCAGGTTAACTCTGGGAAGTCAATAAAACAGCCGTGCTGGCCTGGTTATGTCAACAGCCTGATCTGGAGCAAGAGCTGAAATTTCTTAGAGGTTTTATTAGCTGAGTGCATAGAGAGCAGGGGTTTGGGGGCAGGGTCTGTTTTGGTTTGCCTTGGCTCAATCCAGTTCCTGCAAAACGTGGATCAGGGAGAACTCGAGCGAACAGGCGCCTGAGCAGCCCCTCTGACAGAAACATCACTCTTGGTTTTGCTTATTTCTCGGTTGGGTTTCTTTGATTTTGGTTTTGGTTTTGTTTTTGTTTTTTTTTTTAATTGGTGTTCAGTCAGGGAAAAGGAAGGGGCTGAGATTCAGGCAGTGAAATGGAATGTGAAACCCTCGCTGCCAAAGTGCTGACAGCTGGGCTGGCGCGAACGTGCCGGATCCCGAGCGCGCTGCCGGGGACCGTGCGACCAGAGCTCGCTCTGCACTGATGTCTCCACAGCAAAACCACCCGAGCTGATAGTAACCTTCA